GGGGATATGATGTTCTTACTGTGTTCAAAGGATCGCTTTAAAGTTGGAGGTTTAAACATTATAAAGCACAATTTTGGGCGCATTTATATTTTTCACTTTCATATGAGGACGTGGTAACAAGTGTACCCCCCCCCCCCCTCCACACTGATGATTTTGATCTGCCTCTACATATCAAGAATATCGTGCTGCGATTTAGATCAATGACTTTTTTAAAACCAATTATAATTTTACTTGGCAAACTGCGCAGCCGAGTATGATATGGTCTTAAATACCTTTTCATGATTAAGAAAAATTGTGAACAAAAGTCTTGTTATGCTTCATAAACGCTATAGTTATAAAATATGGACAAGGGAAACACGTCGTTATTTTTTTGTTTCTCGTTCGTGTGTGTTCTATTTGTTTGTTATTTTTTGTCTATGATGTTGTAGTTGTCGTTCCTTTCTTTTCAACGAATGTTATCTTGAATACCATTCATACAAGTGTAACTAGTTTCTAAAGGGGATCAATAATATCAAAGTAATTAAAGTACGATGGTGATCGACGCTCTTACCGGCGCTCTTACCGTAATAAAAAAAACCTTTCAGTTGTTATCATGCAATGGTCATAAACATGCTATTTTCAATACAGGAATATTTTGCCACGCGCACAACTGGTTCTTTAAACTGTAGGATACCATCAAATTGGGTTTAATCGTGATAGCTTTATGCTTTGATCACAGCGGAAGTTTTTGAACAAACAGCAATCAATGCCGTGAACAGCGCAAATTACCTGAACACGAGCTATTAAACCAAGGCTATTACAGAGATCTATTGGAGGGGAATATCTTTATAAGGCATGCCAGGAAGTGATCGCTAGCGAGAAGTATATCCTGTCCTGTCTTTTCCAGCTCTGATGATGATCATCATCATTAAATAACATAGTAACTCAAACAACAGCAACCCACTTGCCTTGTTCACAGCGCGCAGACGACATGTCCCCAACAAGCAGTACAATCGAGGGCTGAGTTTCCCGCCCTGGCTGGCCGGGTCGATTAGGTCGTACGCATGGCTTGTACACGCAGACAAGACAACAATCGACTGGATCCAATAAAGCCCATTTCCTGCCGCCCATTACCAAATATTATCGCCAATAAAAATGCCTTAGTATAAGCACAGGGTGTTAGAGTATATTATTGAGGGCAGGGTTAAGGAGGGCATACAATTTACACGCGGGATATTAAAGCTACAGTGTACATATTTTGAATTTAACAGGTTGTGTTTTTATAGCCCTACTATTCTAATGTATTGTGAAAAGTAGATAAAAGTTACCCTATATAGGTATGTTCGCTTTCTATAAGTAAAATTCATTCTTCTCCCTCTTCTTCTTCTTCTTCTTCTTCTTCTTCTACTACTACTACTTCTCTAGTTATATTTTTTTCTTACTTTCTTTCTTTCTTTGTCTTCTTCTCACATCACAATGAATTTCGAGCGTCAACCTAATAAGTAAGCGAAATAATTTTAAAGAAGAAAACCCAAATTAATATTTTGTACAGCATGGTGTGGTATTAATGGAAAGCACACTCCTTTATTTCTGGCAACATCCCTACTTGTATAAAATGTTTTAACACATGTCACATGGTAGGTAGTCATGTGCCTTGAAAAAAACTTTATGATGTAATAAACTATTCATCTATATTGAATTATCCTGTATGTTTGCCTGGTTACTCTAAGGACATCATTTCATTGACAAAAATATAACATTCGTCTTTTAAAATAAAAATGTGTGATAGTGTATAGATGTCATGGGAGATTTCCGAATTTCATTTTGCAATAAGTACTATCAAGTGAATCTTAATATAAGAATGTATCTTTCAAAACCTTGTTTGAACTGCGAAATGATTAATTTAATAGAATAATCACAACGTACTCCAGAGTATAATGTCATTTTCGAAGTTGGAGGGCTCAACAATAATTGTATTTATCGGAGACACTGTAAAACTTGTTGGACTAGTTAGGGGAAATATTTGCTTCAAACCCTTGAAACAATCTCTTCAAGTTAAAGATAAACTTGAGTTCTGGTAAAAAAAAGAAAATGAATTCTCACAGAATCAAACGAAACTTACACTGAATGTTCAAGATTACAAATAAATGACATGTGCCAAACAATTTTGGAAGAAAATGTATACTGGCTGAGTAATGAGCATAGAAAGACAAGGAAATCAAGGTAGTACTAGCCCCGACACCATGTGTGTTGTCCCATATATATCTTTCTATGTGAGTGCTTGTTACTTTACCAAGACTCGGTCAAATTTATTATGATTTTGATGACTCCAGAACCTTGCAGTGCTCACCAATACTTACATGCTACATGATCAACTGTTTCTGATCCTTTCACACCTTTTCTTTCACAATGCAATCGCATTACCAGTACTAAAGTTTATCTTTAAGTTCCCAGGCATGCATGCCGATGACAGAACTTCAAGATATGGTCAACAACAAATTTGAAAACAACTCTAACACTTAATTTTCCTTCATCCTATTTGCCTTGTATACAACAATGAATGGATAAGAAATTGCAAATCCAAAGGCTTCCTGCACACTCATATCAAACCATTAACTAGGTGAATATATTTATCTTGTATCAGAAGGAAATCCGATGTTACTTCTATCCTAGCTTTCAAATTATAATGACAACATTTTATCACCGAATGAAGATAACCTTATTTTAAATTATTGCATTACTTTTTCTTTCGGGGAATTTTATACTTTTACTTCCTCGCACTATATAACGGTCGTGCATTTATTGTGTGCGTTGGTCTTTATGAAATAAACTATTGACTCATCTCAAAATTGAAACGAAAATGTGGCCTACAATTTATTGAGTAGGAGTTGAACTTGACTGTCATGGTTTAAGAAACGTGCTTTCAATTTTAACCTGTTGAATATCACTTATACGGTCGACGGTCAAAATCATGTTCGTATAGTGTGTACTTTAAGTTTAAAGATAAATTAAAAGAAACAAACAAATTTAAAGTTATCATTTTAAAATGCGATGGCACCCCCCCCCCCCTTCCTTCCAGTATATTCTTTTTGTTTTTATTCATGCATTTCCACTAAATTTGTCCCATTTATCTCTTCAGAAAAATACTTTTGAAACAGAAAATCTATAGATTTGATTATAATTATCATCAATAAAATTACGCATACATAAAATAGGTCCTATAAATCCATGTACGTAGATATTACATGAAATATAATAATACCACTAAACTGTAGACTACCCCCTCTGCCTTTTTCATCTGTATGGTGTCTAGTTATAAGTGTAACCAACCAACAGATCAATGCTTCATTTTTGGAACGTATCATATCGACTATCATTTTTATAAGAATTCGCAACGAATTATACAATCACCGAAATTGAACTGAATATTAAATGGAAACACTTTTCAACTGAAAGACAACATTTGATTATAAACCGAGTCGATCAAAAATAAACAGTTGAATTGACTCACTGGAATGCTTCTGAGGCTTTGGCATTGGTCATTGACAAGCAAGGGATTATCTCAATTAGCATGATCAATGCCGAATCAATTTGGCAGTGATATTTGTCGAATAAAATGGATTTTCTTTTTTCAAATCTGAAACTGGAAATCGTCATAGATGTCATGTAGTAAAATTAACAATATCATTGCAACAACTTTAACGCGTACAAACAATGTTTGATTGGGGTTTGCTCTTCTACGGCTACAGTTCTCACTTGGGATCATGCATGCCTGATTTGGAGAGAACTTCTACCAGAAAATCAATGACAATAGTCAGAGGCTTGCAGGACTAAAAAGAAGGTTTCTTTCAAGTTGGCACTAAAGAAAGATTCGTAATTTTGAATACATTTTGAGAACAACATGATAAAAGTATCATCAAGATATTTGTAACAAGAATAAATCCTTTGAATGTCTAGATTTACAGAAAGTTATTACAGAATTGTTATGATTTTCGGGGTTCTTTTCTCAATAGATGACGTACCCATTCTGATTTGGGATATACTTCTTCAAGCAACGACCCCTGACAAAGTATGCTAGCGATGGCTTTCAGAATCACATGGTTTAAGCGCAAGTATATCACACTTGACGTTTTCTTACTCCAAATATTACCACAGTTATCTGATATCTAATGCAAATATCACAAAGAATTTGAAACGCACACCGAGGCATGATAAGTTCATTTATAGCATACAAAAGTAACACAAATGAATGTTCATGTACATCATGAGGGCCCTAGATCTTAGTGAAATTCCGAGAAATCGACAATTATCAATACCAAGATTTTTCACCACCATGGTTATATCATATATACACATGATACAAGAGAAACATGGGGTAAGATAAGCAAATATAGAAACAGCTCGGTTTCGTATTCCAACTTATTCCTTAATTAAAACAAGTTTCATAAATGTTAGAGGGAAAAAACAATTATTATGTGAATGAGTATCGCACAATTTACAAATTTAAAAGATTAACAATTTCCTGAATTAGCCTTTTCATGAATAGAACTGGTTATCCGGTCGGATAACTGATATAGAGGTATATACTAAAGGTGTATTTACTTACATCTGCAGTAAAATATATTGTACGACAAGTCCACAGTTTTATATGCGTCATTGTCATCTCTAGAGTGCTCAAGATCATGGGAATTTAGTGCATTGGAGAGAATAAAATGTCCAAACTGATTTCACTTTATTAAACGCTCATTGTCGAGGGTTTTTTAAATGAATCAAAGCATCAAACTTAGACTGAAATGAGAGTTATTTCTTGTTAATGAACTTCGTATATTACCATCACACTCTCAAATTTGTAACAAGTTTGCGAATAATATTATTCACTATACCACCTGTCTACAAGTCATGTCCCATAAAAGGCAGTGCAATGCTCGTTCTCTTCTTCTGCAACACTCTTTTCTTTTCTTCTTTCGTTTTGTATTTTATCGTCCTGATGATAAATACCTATTTTGGGGTGTATTTCTTACCTTTTGAGAAGTGATCGACTCTGTCTAGGAATGAGTGAGGGTAATCATTCCTGCTGTACGGATACAGAGCTGTGGGTGAGGTAAATCCAGTCGTACTGTATGCCAGTGGTGCGGAGGCAGCCAGCCCTCCAGGTAAGGCGGCGGGATCGTAGTAAGCTCCGGTCGGATGCTGAGGCTGTCCGTACGGCGACGGTCCGAACGAATGCCCCGGGAACGTGGGCGTAGGCCTTGTCGGCGTCGTAGGGTGAGTCGCGAGCGAGAGAGATGTGATATTTTGAATGTTTGCCGCTCTATTTTGTCCCAAGATATTTTCAATAGAAAATGACGTATGTGGAGGATTGGGATGTGAGGGTGAATGAGAGTGGGTGAGAAAGTTGTGAGGGTGCCCGGCCAAGCTGGGTAATTGTTGTATAGGAGTAGGAGCGACCAGGGGACTGGGGTGGTTCACCATCCCCAAACCACCCGTACCTGGCCCGCTGCTTGGCATGGCGTACTGTATAGTTGACATGACTCCCGGTGATGCCGACAAATTATCCAAGGATGAGGTGCCAAGCCTTACAGACGACACTTTATAAACTCCTAAGACCTGGAAACGAAATGTCTGGGATGCAGGCAGTCCTCCAAAATAGTTTGTAGAGCACAGCTCGACAATCAAAGACACAACTGATTATTCTCCTCGTCGAAGTTGTCAGGACTCCTTATGCAGTAAGGATATCACGGTATAAATAAAAACCATCGGCCACAGGGCATACACTGTCTGTTGAGCCCAGATCCGATCTGTGATTATGAAGTTTAACTGACGACGAGTTATGATCTGTATTTTGTCAGCACCATAAACACGAAGCAACAATGCATACACAAGCAGACGGCAGCTAGCTCCACGGAGGCGCTTCGGTGCAAACTCTTCACGAACTCGCCCACTTTGCAGAGCTGGCTAACAATAGGCACCGAAGTTTTCAGCAGAAGAAGAGAGATAACGATATATCCTTTATTTGGGGGCGGAGCTTACAAGTGAACCACCGTCTGTCAATCACCTGCGAGGCTGATTAATCACCACATCCGGGCTCCCTATACTAGTAACCTTTGTGCGCTGATTGGTTGTGACAGCGCAAGTGATGGTGCGCTCGCATCAAAACTTTTAGCGATACAGATCGTTTCTCTCTTGTAGTCTTTAACCAGACTCTTGTTTTCTATCAGCGTCTCGTTTCTTTGTTATTCCCATAAGGTCTTTGTCTTTGACAAGGCCATTTTGCTTCATTTGTTCCCTGGCTTGCGCTGAATGGTAAACAATAATTGTGTAAAGGACATACTTAAAAGCTGATAGCTATGAGTTTCGGGTAACCTTCGACTAATGACAGGAGAAGTTCATAATAATCGAGTCTGGAAACGAGCCTGATGAATTTACCCTCGACGAAGATTCGGCGATCTCCAGGTTCTCGTATAAATCTCGACAACCGGACGATTCGAAACGGCATTTTGCCTGTTCTCCCTCGAGAACGTCTGCCCGTTAGCTTGGGGCTAATTCAAAATGGACAATGCAGGATATGAACTTCATTCTAGTGTCAGCACCTAACCCCCCACTCTTCTTCCGTGATCACGAGTAATTATAGTCAGAAGAACTCAACAGTGATCGCTGTTTTCCGCAGAAAACCAGAAAACAAAAATGTCATGATCAGAGCGCAGATTGAAGACTTTCCTTCCCTCTCAAAGTGGATCAGACCAATTCAGTCAGAGTGCTCGGATTCCTTCGCTTTTAGAACAAAGAAGGTCCCAACGGTATGTCGGGCATTCCTCCGCAAAGTGCAGAAGGCTGACATTATCAAACTTAATTGTGTTCCTTCCCGCGATCGAGAAGAGATAGCGCCCCAAGAAATGTCGTGATTTATTTCCAATTAAAAGGGGACAGAATGAATAAGGGGGTCGAAGCTTGGGGGAGCTATTCGCCCCCGGGTAAAGATGGCGCGAAAAACATTCGTAATTTTGTAATTGTGTTCCCCTTCCCGTGCTAGGAGTAGAACGTGTGAAGTGAGAACACGATCAGTTTGTTGGCTATCGTTTTCTCCCTGTCGTCTGCTAAGCAGCTGCGCCCTCTGACACAACCCCCAAAGATTTGTTGCCTAATTTCGGCGCGAAACAGCTGACACTTTCTTTCATTGAGAGAATTTCCCCCAACTTCGGTTTCATTTTCTCCCTCTTCCTTATTACTTAGCGCTTGTTAATTTACACCAATCAAAGGTGTTTGGCTCGTTACGAACATGACGAAAATAACGATTAACTTAAGCGTTTGGTTTTAAACAATAATATTTCGTTAGTTCTTGTTTTTAAAATCTTGATTGTTTTGTAACCAAAATATAGTTTTAAAAATATATAATTTTACCGATATTCATTTTTAATTAGTGGTATTGATTCGGAAAATTGGTTGCTTCTTTAATAAGAGTATAGGCCGAAAAGACGGGAGAAAAAATGTATTTGGTCACGGGCGTCTCTCCGTTTTTACTTGAGGAAGAAATTTATTAAAACAATCTTCTTTACTTGAAAATTTATAGAGGAAAGGTAAATGTCAAAAATATTATGGGTTCTAATTTTCTAAAGCATTTGACTTTGAAGATACTTTAATGTTGGGAAGGGACATATGTCAGCCCCATCATAATATTCTGGATAGCATTTTAAAAGGGGTGGAACTTCCTCAACAAAAACAAAAATACATTTTCAGAATTTTGGAACCTCATAATATAGCATGCTCTACTGTGGAGCTATCATACTAAGGAATTAAAGGGTAAGTCCACCCTGATATTAAGTTGTTTTAATAGAAACATACAAATTAGGTCAGTGAAATTTTGAGTAAAAAAGATTTTAAAAAAGAATTTATTTAAAGGTGTGATCAATCAAACTCAAATTAGTATTTCCCTGTACTAAAAAAACAAAAAATATATTTTCCTTGAGAAATGTTCAACCATACATTCACCCTAAATATAATTATTGCAAATAATGTGTTACACAACGAATGTATGAAACGAATCTATTCCGTCATCAATAACTAAACAAAATGAAAGTTTATGACATTTTCTGTACAAGCACATCGAAGAGGAGCTCGTAAGATATGAGCGTTGCCAATTTTTGTTTCACTGATGATAGGCCCTACGTTTTAAAATTCATAACTTTCTTATTTTTAATTGGATATAGCTTAAACTTTCATTTATTTATTTCCTTTCTGCCAACTTATTATCAGAGTTGACTTCCCCTTTAGAGAAATGAAAGTTCGTCCGATAACGATGAAGAAAAAAAATCAGTTTATGCAATTATCATGATTTTATCATACAACTTAACATCTTTGTTTGAACTTGAAACCATTCTTTATATTGTAAATTGTAATTTTTATCGGAAGAATTTCATATTCTCCATGACTGCACTTTTTAACAAATTTTTTTATGAAAGAAAATACATGATACTGAAAAAACACCTTGCCTAGGTAAAAATGGTAACAAAAATACAACAATATCAAACCAGGCCTAGTCAATTTCATACAGTTTCCTTCTACATCAATGATTTAAGTGTTGGTATCTGTGGCGTGTATTTTCAAAAGACACGTTAATGTAATTGTAAATGGATTTATAAACCCACAAGTGCTTTAAATTATTTCACAATTACATCTTACTAATATTTTTTGTATAAATGAGTGTTTAATAAGGCTTTTAATTTAGATTTGTCATGAGTTTCCGAATTGGCAAGCAGCAAGTACGATGCGATAATACTAATCACCATCCGATCCTATTCAAACAGAAGAATTCCAACAGTATATTCTAAATGCATTTTAATTTTTATATAGAACATTATCAATAACTTTTAGAAGTGAATGCAGTCCATGTAAGAGGATGTCGTCAATAATGACTTCTTTTCAAACAAAGACAAAATAGATTGAATGTAATATATTCACTGTTTATAATTGATTTATTGCCAAAAATTGCACATTTCCATAAGGAGATTGTAGACAATACTGATCGGCTTTTGAACATAAATCATCAAAAATAGAAAATAAAAGCACAATTTTTTTTTTACCCGAGCTTGTTTGTTACATGGTAATCCTTAGCTTAAGAGCTATAGCCTAGTTATCAAAACAAATACACGAGAATGTTGCAGATGGGACTATTGAGATCGATGCTCAATAATTAGCCCATTAATCAACGGGTCTTCAGATTAACGAGGAGTCTCGGGAGCGTCGCACTTGCTTGCGTTCGTCAGCCCTTAATCTCCAATCTCAAATTTGCGTGTATTTGATAATAGCGGTCATATTCCTCGCATGTCTCCGTACACAGTCTTATATTCAGACATTTTGTAGCTTGATTAAGTTTTGAAAGAATTTTGAGAGGTGAAAGTTTGACATTTTAACAGGAAGAGATCGGTACAGTGTTAGATATAAAACAATCACGCAGTTTAAAAACTCATTAAAAAGGGACCACGTGAGGCAAACTCTTATAATTATAAACCCAGAATGATCCATTGTTGTTACTTTTTTTTATAAATGAAAACGAAGTCAAGACGGTTTGAAACCGAGACTACCAATGAGGAAGAAATTGGCGCGATTAAGAGGGATCAAGTTTATGATAATGCCATCAGCCCGCGAGAACTTGTCAAACATTTATCCTGCTTACACCAAAGCACCAATCATCACTCCAGCTAAGCCGGATAGCAGTATACATCCTTTGTGACATGTTGTTCCTAAAACGAGAGCAATCACGTCCCGTCAGAGGAACCCGACTTTGAGTTACATCCCTCGGATCCAATGCAAGATCAACAGCGATTTCGTGGGTATCCCCTCTGGCTTTATACTAACCAAGACGCAATCCCCCGCCCAGTTAAAACCCACTGCCGCCTTTTTTAATCGAGGTTTTAGCATCGGCTGCGTGCTCGTTTATTCCTTGAATCAACGCTCGTTGACAAAGTAGAGATGAAATACTTCCTAATATCGACTAAAGCAGCGCCGTCTATGAAAGGAGGGGAAAATGACATGCCGGGGAAGCTTTATATTGCTTTGATAGGTAATCTTCTTCACTTGGGGATAAAAATAATCATATTTTGAAGGAGCGTTTAGCAAAATAAAACTGCAAGATCGACTAGGATCTAAAATAACCCATTCAGAAGTCACTGACCATTTGGATGTTACAACAAATGACAAACATTTACAAAAACGTATCTTTTAATGAATGAAGGTTTGAAAATGAAAATCTTCGGAGGGTTAAGTTCTTGAACAAAATAACAAGTTTTCAATTCCAGATATTATCGTGATGGTGTAATTTTGTTGAAAATATATACTACAAAAAAAAAATTACGATTGCAAATAGAATACCTCGCTCTCTCTGCCTGAATATAAGATGGCATTATGGCAGCTGCCTAATTTGAGGTGGACTAGTTTGCATAAAATATTGGTAATTAGTAATTCAGAATTCAGAATTTCGGGGGTTGAAGCCACACACCCCCCCCCCCTCACCCCCGCCACACACCCACCAACTAAGCAAAGCTACACCTTTTCACCTATATGGTCTACTTTTCAATTCGATAACACATTATTTATTTTGCTTGTTTTAATATAACTCGAAATCATAGTCAGTTGAAAACGCCAACGGACATAATTTATCGTGGTCTCCACAGCCGTGTATTAGCCATGAAGTTTATTTTTCTCTTAAATGCAAGTCTGCATGGTTTTCAGAATGTCCGTTAATTTTTTTATTTCGTCCTGTTCTAAACTGTTATTGCTTTTATTTTCAATTCTGTCGACATTTTTACACCCCCTTCATGTATAGGCCTACTCTATGTCACTGACTCGTAAGTTTGTTTCATTCTACGCTCACTTTTTAGTACTTTATTTTTCTTCGATCATGCCAATGGTATGCTGTCAGGGGTCATTATTTGATATGGCCAGACATG